CCTCCCTGCAGGTGTCTGTCTATAGCCTCCCTGCAGGTGTCTGTCTATAGCCTGTTGGCAGGCCTGGGAGGGGCTCCTCGGGGCCTTACTACTTGGCAGGTGCTATGAGGAAAGGCAGAGGGATTATCAGCACAGACGATGATGAAGGAAGATGTTCAGAGGGTCATACAGGTGACAGCAACTCACAGGTGTCAACCCCGAGCCACAAGTCTACCATCCTTCTGTCGTGGCTGTGGTCTTGGGAAAGTCACTCCCTGGGCACCCCATCGGTACAGTTCAGATGGTGATAGTGTGCGCACAGCCCAGGCCACGCAGACCAGGCCACGTGAAGGTCAGTGGAATTGTCCAGACTTCAAAAAGCAGCCCTGCTTTGCACCAAAGCTCAGGCGTAGTTGACCAGGTGAGCTGAGGAGTCTTTTCCTGGGAGAGGCAGATATGGGAAGCCATTCCCTTCCTCCCTGGGGCCAGCACTACATCTTTGCAGACATCGGAGTGGTACGTTCGCCATTACAGTCCCATTCTCCGAGACAGGAACCTAGGTGCAGAGACCTCATGACCGGTAGGTGGCAGAGACACACCTCCCACCAGCCTGGGGTGAGAGTGTCTTTCAATAGACACTATAGAGCTATTCCCCACACCTGGAGAGGAGCAGAAGCCTCACCGGGGGTCACGTGACCGGGGGCTGTTAGGGGACAGATACAGGCTTCTCCACCTCTGTACCACAGGCCTTTCACCCTGCTGTCTCCACGGAACAGATGGCGTCTCTGTCACTCTTGATACACAGAGCATCATCTACCCATCCTGCACTTGGCATACATCACCAATCGAGCCTAGATGAGGCGTCATAATCCTTTCCCACTTAATGCTCCCTGCAGCTGCTATTGAGGAAACAGAATCTTCTCATGAGACAGAACTGGAACTAATTTTTTACCCCCACTGAGCCCTTGACTCCGCCACAACTTTCCATTCCATATAAGCAAGCCTTCATTTGTAAAATAGGTGGAGAAGCTGGTCGAAGAAACCAGCCTGAGGGTGCGGGACTGAGGCAGGAGCCCTTCCCTGAGCTGCTTATCCAGGGAATGAAGGTCCCTTTCTTTTCCTTCCAAACCTGGCCAGACACTGCTGGTTGCTCCTGTAGGGGGCAGTCTTGCCTTTCTTTCTGTCCCTGTGGCCCGTTGTCCCCTCTATGCATCCCAGGCGCTGAGCAGACACTAGGGACTGCTGGACTGGAGAAGTGGGTGGTGGTGGGGTGTCTGTGATATCCCGTCCAGGTACCAGCAGGCAGAACAGAGTTGCCATACTGACAGTCGGTGTGTACTCATGGTCACTGCACAGAGTGAGTCCCCGCGAGGCTGGAAGCCTGAACCAGGGCCTCCTTAGGTGGGTCCTTCAGGATGAAGAGAACACAAGAGCAGAGGGGATGTCTCTTCCACTGCTCTGAGATACAAACAAGTAATGGAACAGTACCCAGGCTTCCTGCCTGGCTCTGGTACTCCCTCCTTGACTCCTCTAAGACAGGGATTTGAGGTGCAGGGTGGCCACATGGCCAATAGGTGGCAGAGCTGCACCTCCTACTCACCAAGGGGTGGCCTAGATGGTTTTCTCAGGTCACGTCGGCCTGGTGGACATGAACCCAGGCAGTCTGGTTCACCTGGACCCTTCATCCGCAGACCCTGCTGCCTCCCGTTCTAACTCGTCTACCAGGATGTGCCTCGTGGCTCCTCCACCGGGACACTCACTGTTGTCTAGGCCAGTGGCTCTCAGGGTGTGGGTCACAACCCATTTGACAAAACTCTATCTCAAAAAATATTTACATTACGATTCATAACAGTAGCAAAATTGCAGTTATGAAGAAGCAACAAAAATAATCTATGGCTGGGGTCAGCACAACGTGAACAACGGTATTAAAGGGCCGCAGCGTTAGGAAGGCTGAGAACAGCTGCTCTAGGGAGTTCTGGGCCCAGGTGACAGACAGGTATTTGTCTTGCTCTGCAGGGATCTGCCTGTGTGGCCACCATACCGAGGGTCCTTCCTGTGAGCGCTGCATGCCAGGTTTCTACGGCAACGCCTTCGCAGGCCATGCTGATGACTGCCAGCCCTGTCCGTGCCCTGGCCGATCAGCCTGCACAGCCATCCCACAGAGTGGGGAGGTGGTGTGCACACACTGTCCCCCTGGCCAGAGAGGTGAGTGGCCTGTGCTCTATTCCCCAGGGAGATCAAACTCGATGCTCCAATCCTGCCCCAGCTCTAGCTGAGCAGTCTGGGTTTGGGTGTGATGGGGGGGGGGGGGACCTGACCTTAGGTGTGGCGGGCATGACTACTGGGACAGTGCAGACCTACCTGGGCCTCGGCTGTGCAGAACTGACCCTTGAAAGACCCTTATATGGCCTTAGATCTTGACTCGTGGCTTAGGATGAAGCCAGGGGACCCAGGATCCTCACTGGGAAGATGGGAAACCTCAAGGCAAACCTCTCCTATGGCAAAGGAAGGCTCAGCTCGTAAAGTGCTTGCTGAACAAGCCAGGTGGCCAGCCCTACTCAGACTCAGAACCCATGTAGAAAAAGGCCGAGCGCTGTGACACATGTCTATACGCTCAGCACTGGGGAAGCAGAGGCAGACGATCTCTGTGAGTTTGAGGCCAGTCTGGTCCTCAGTCTGGTCCTCAGGACAGGCTCCAAAGCTACACAGAGAAACCCTGTCTCAAAAAAGAAAAAAAGGAAGATTGATCGAGGGTGATCCCCAACATCTACTTCTGACCTTCGTGCACACACACATATGTATACACACACAAACACACAAGCGCATGCACATACACACATAGACAAGTATACACACACATGCACACAGGCACATGTATACACACGCACAGGCACCTGTTCACACACACATACATGCAGACACGAGTACACACACACACGAATTTTCGGTGTTAGTTTTTAGGAATGTCTATGGGTAACATAAGGGAAACAGAGCCTTCCCACACCCAGGCTCCATGCTCCTGCACCCCCTCTCCCTGCTGCAGAGCTGATGCTATCCCCAGAGGTGCATTTAATGGCATTTGAAATGTCTACATGCCCCACAAAGTCACCCACTTAAAGTGGACAATTAAATGGCTATTGGTATATTACATCATTAATTTTTTATCATAATAAAACCTATATCATAAAACTGTCCTCCTTGGCCATCATTTTAAGCATGTGATTCATTGGCCTCAGGGGCCCTGGCATTGTGTGCTGTCCCCTGTCACCATGCAGTCCTGTGAGCTCTGTGCCTGCTGAACTGTTGTTTGATGGCCTCTGTCCCCCCACTCCTCTCCATTATTTGACTATGCCTCTGAATCTGACTCTTTGGGGTCTTGTCTAAGCAGAAGTGTGTGTTGTCCTTCTGTGTGGGATTGGCGTCTGCCCTGAGTGGTCTTGTGGAGTGTTCTGCTCACTGGAGCTTCTTCTGAAAGCAGCTTCCTGTCCTGCAGTCGCCCCCAAGGTTGTCTGGATGGGCTCTCAGGGAGCACAGAGCCTGGTGTGTGGACTCTGTACCCCATGGGCATCACGCTTGCCCTGCATCTCTACCCTTTCCCCATGTTTGACCCCCGTGTGGTTCCCAGAGCCTTCAGAAGTGAGTAGGGCTCTGACAGTGAGAGTGAGAGGCTGGCATGGTGGGAGGGACATTCCTGAGAGGGCACATCAGGGAGTAGCTGCTGCCACCAGAAGGAACCATCCTGGGAGGGCCTAGGGTGACTTACAGATCAGGGACTTCTGCCAGCCTCCAATTCCGCATCACCTCCCGGGGCCTTCCTTGGGAGAGAGTAGCATGCAGCTTGTCTGGTCTCCTGAACTGAGCCTGACCGACATCCTTGTGATGCTGCGGAAACCGCTGGTGAAGGGGGAAGGATAAAGGTGGACACAGTGGTACCTGCTACTGCTGAGCGCTTAGCGTCGAGTGCTTGGCACCATGTCGAGGCCTCACAGCAGGGCTTTGGGGCATCTAGAGAGTTGTCCTCACTAGAGGCAAGGAGCACCATGGCTTGCCCGGGGCCACACCAGGGGGTGATGCTCTAGGACCTGGCTGCAGGCCAGCTTGAGTCATAGACCCTGCTCAGCTTCCCAGAAAAGTGACAGATTTCCTGCACCCTTGTGAGCCAGAGCTCCAAACCTGCCCTTCCACACACAGGACGGCGCTGTGAGAGCTGTGAAGATGGCTATTTTGGGGATCCTCTAGGACTCTCTGGAACCCCCCAGCCCTGCCGCCAGTGCCAGTGCAGCGGGAATGTGGATCTCAATGCGGTCGGCAACTGTGACCCTCGTTCTGGCCGTTGCTTGCGCTGCTTGTACAACACCACAGGCGCCCACTGCGAGCGCTGTGAGGATGGTTTCTACGGGAGTGCCTTGGCCACCAGGCCTGAGGACAAGTGTGCACGTGAGTACCCACTTCCCAGACCTGTAGGGTAAGGCACGGGAGCTACTGTCCTCAGCCCTCGTTCAGGACCCACACAGGATGCTGAGAGAGCTGCTCTGCTAAACTGGGCAGCCTTAGGCAGGCCTTCTCTGTTCTCTAAAACAAATTAGGGTTTGTTCTTCCCCATGGCCTCTTCAGTGTTGGCGTCTCTTAAGCTCTGGTCCTACAGTGCTGTCTCCCCCCCCACCCCTCCACTGGTCATTCAGCACCATCTCGCACCCGCCCTTAGCACATAAGGTTGATGCAGGGATGGGGAGGCCATGCCTCATCTCATGTGCCCCCTCTCCCTGCCTGGGTTGCCCTCCACCTCATGCATGTCAGAGGGTCACAGCCTGCATTTGAATTGGGCTCCTGGAAGTCCTGCATCAAAGCACCTCGGCTTTCCCCCCATCCGGGTCCTCAGAGCCCTTTCACACGGTGCCGGCCACACCTCACTGTGGCTGTGGGAGTCCCTCCAGGAAACCCCATTCTGGCTTCGAGAAGGATGCCGCACTATGGTTCCCAGGAGAGTAGACGTGTGTGGCTCCAGATGGGGCTGCCAGGCTCTGCCTGTGTTCAGCAACCACATTGCTGGCCCTCTCTCCAGCCTGCAGGCTTGAGACAGACTTGGGGAAGGACGGTCTACACCCCCACTCTTCTGGGCTGGCTCACCAAGGACCTGGCAAATGGGCTGAGACCCAAGCTTGTACCTCAAGCCTTTTCCAGGAGGGTCTCAGGAACATGGCCTGTCATCTCTGGGGCTCCCTTGGCTTCTTGGCTTCTGCCTGCACCCCTAAAGCTTAAGCAAATGATTCCAACATCCTTTTTTGAAACCTAGCCTGCAGCTGTGACCTGAGGGGCTCAGTCAGTGAGAAGATAACCTGCAACCCAGTGACCGGCCAGTGTGCCTGCCTGCCTCATGTTACCGGGAGGGACTGCAGCCGCTGCAGCCCTGGCTTCTACGATCTCAAGTCTGGGAGGGGCTGCCAGAGGTAGGGGTGAGGCTGCAAGTGCCCTGAGAGGGGTTGCCAAAGGTAGGGGTGAGGCTGCGAGTACCCTGGGAGGGGCTGTCAGCGGGTAGGGGTGAGGCTGTGAGTGCTCTGGGGCGGCTGCCAGGGCTAGGGATGAGGTTGAGTGTGCTCTGGGAGGGGTTCTCACAGGTAAGGTTGGGGCTGTGAGTTCCCTGGGTGTTTTGGCTCGGGGAAGAGGACACCATGGAGCCTCAGGGGAGGGCCTGGTCTGGAGTGTGTTGTCCCAGGCCCTTTTCCACATCCACGGTGCCCTCCCCAAAGGGCATGAAAGCTCAGTCTCTGGGTATCAGATTTCTGGCTCTGCCAGCCCTGAAGGCAGGTCAAGAACAGCCCAAGGGCTGGGCAGGTGGGCAGGCGGCTGGTTTGGTCTGATTCTCCGTCTCAGTGACACGGATCACTGGGTGGCCTTTTGACCACAGCTCCTGAGACAATGTGTCAGCCTCAAAGGAAGACTCTGGGGAGGCTGAAGAAGTGGTGACTGTCCTTGTGTGGCTCCTTGGCGCCCTTAGTGTGGATTTCACCGTGACTTTCCAGACCCAATGCTGGTGGCTTTTTTCTTCAGTGTCCTATGTGACTTGCGCTCCCCTGGACACAGGCAACCATCAGAGGCTGGGTTAAGGGGTGGCAGCATCAACCTTCATACTTGCTTCTTGTTGCAGCTGTAAATGCCACCCGCTCGGCTCCTTGGAGAACAAGTGTCACCCCAAGACTGGCCAGTGCCCCTGCCGACCCGGCGTCACAGGCCAATCCTGTGACAGATGCCAGCTGGGTTTCTTTGGCTTCTCCATCAAGGGCTGCCGAGGTGAGCAAGCCGCATCCCGCTGGGCCGTGGGAGGGAGGGCTGAGGTCGCGTGCTGGAGATGACCACAGGAAGCAGGGATGGTGGGGGAGATGATGGGTAGCCGCTGGCTGGTTGCCTGAGTCTGGCCTTAAGAACATGGAGCTTATGAGTGTGAGGAAGTCAGTGTTGTAGGTCACATCTGTGACCACTGAACTCTTGTGTGTGGCCAGACACCATGTCACATGTGAGCCACTGTTTCCTCACTGTACAGTGGCAGTTCTGGGGCTCTGGGAACAGTGTAATAAGTAAGCCTTAAGGCTTGGTTGCCAGCTCTAGCCTTCTAACCTTCTAAATAGTCTGTGGCATGGAGCCCTGGAGTCTGCATTTGAGGGCACGCGGGGGTTGTGGGAATTTCCAGGTGGGGTTTAAGGATTCGGGGTAGGAGGTGGGAGATGAGTCTGAGCGCCTCATCGGGTCCCCAGAGCTGGCTTCTGTCCCCCAGACTGTAAGTGTTCCCCGCTGGGTGCTGCTTCACCTCAGTGCCACGAGAACAGCACGTGTGTGTGCAGGCCCGGCTTCGTGGGCTACAAGTGTGACCGCTGCCAGGACAATTTCTTCCTCGTGGATGGTGACACAGGGTGCCAGGAGTGTCCCACCTGCTACGCTCTGGTGAAGGAGGAGGTAAGTTGCTGTGCCTAGACTCGCCCACTCTCAGGATCATGTCACACCTCCAGGGAGCACCAACTCCATGCTGTGGACCAGAAGCTGCCTGCTCATTCACAGACCTCGAGCCTTTTGTTCCCGCTGGCCACCTTCTCCTGAGCTCCCCCAGCCTCCTCAGTCCAAGTCCCCTGACCTTCACCTGGTCCTCCTGTCCTGGATGAGCCAGAGGTGGCTCTTGTCACCTCCCTTCCTGGCCTCCCAGGGCCAACATCTCATACTTGTATAGCTCAGTGGGGGTGAGATGACAGGGCACCCCAGGAGCAACACAGACAGCACTTCAAATCGGGAAGCGGGTGGAACTGAAGTCAGGGGCTAGAGCCTGAGAGACCCCAGGCAGAGGGCATTGTTATACCCTTCCATGTTCTACTCCACAATAGCGAGTTCCTGCCTTCCAACCTCTGGGCCCAGTGGGGCTCTGAAAACATGCGGTGCTGCGGGAGAAAGCGGCACGTCCTGAGCTCTAGCTACGGGCGCAGAGAGCAAGCAGGCCAGACCTGTAAGCACAGCCATTCCCAGTTCTGCAGGACAGCGTGCATTTTGCACCCCTGGGTAAATCAAACTACCACCTGGTTTCCTGCTGCCTGGAACAGTGTTTCTTCCAGACCAGGTCCCAATCCATTTGTCATTGAGAAAGGCATAGAGGCTGGGCGGTGGTGGCGCAGGCCTTTAATCCCAGCACTCAGGAAGCAAGAGGCAGGCAGATCTCTGTGAGTTCAATGCCTGCCTGGTTTACAAAGCGAGTTTCAGGAGAGCTGTTATACAGAGAAATCCTGCCTTGGAAAATCGAAATCCCAAAACAAAACAACCAAAAGTACAAAACAAACAAACAAACAAAATATAGCAAAGAGGGTGGTATCTAAACAGGAACAACTTCCAAGGTTGAACTCTGACCTCCAACACATGCACCTCCCCAGGCAAACATATATGCATATGTGCACATACAAGCACATATACACGCAGGCACTTTCACACCAACCTTCCTGAGGCTCCTTTTCTCACCTTCTGTCCCTCCCTCAGTAGCACAGGGGTGTGGCTGTCAAGGTGGCAGCAGGTGCTAGGCTGAGAAGGGAAGTAGTTGGTGAAGCTGGGCAGACAAGACAGGCCTAGGGGCTAGCGAGTCCTTAGCTCTGAGACTCAGGCAGGATTGGAAGGAGAGAAACCACGAAAGGGGTGGACTAGGCAGAGGCCAGGGACAACTCCCAGCACCTAGAGATCCCAGCCTCATTCAGTTTTTCTTCCCATTTGTCCCGGCAGGCAGCCAAGCTGAAGGCCAGGCTGATGCTGATGGAGGGGTGGCTGCAGGGATCTGACTGTGGCAGCCCCTGGGGACCACTAGATGTTCTTCAGGGAGAAGCACCTCGGGGGGATGTCTATCAAAGTCACCACCTACTTCAAGGTACAGGAAACGGGAGAATGGGAGGTGAGGGTGCTGGTGGAGCCCGGGCTGGCTGGACGCTTCAGCTCTTAGGATAGTCATGACATCCCATAGGCCTATCCTACCATGTCCCTAGCACATCTGTGACGATATTGACAAGGGTCTCGGTCCAGTGCCTCATGGGTGTGGTCTCCTGCCCCCTGCCCTGGGCTGATTGTAAACTCCAGGCAAACCATTTAAGGACACCCTCGCCTGGGGCGCTGTTCCAGGTGCTGAACCTGTAGGTCCTCTGGTGTTTTTGCTTTTGGCCTGTTTGCTCCACTGCCACGTCTCCGGGCTGTGTTTGGCAGGTCGCAAAAATGATTAGCAACTAAGAAAAGCAGACCTGTCATTAAACCATGTGGAATGTGGCCTTGGGGCACAGGAAACTTCCAGAACGTTGAGACTGGATTGGTCCCTTTGTACAGCTGTGTTTGCAAATAACTGTGTTTCAGCCGCTGGCTAAAGGTGAGCCAAGTGCCTGTGTGCTGTCAGGCGAGGGAGCAGTCGATTGGCTCCGTGTGAACCTCAGTGAAGAGTCACAGTCCTGAATTGGGTTGGGGGTCCACTGCCAGCCCCGATTCTGGAGCTACTCACTGTGGTTTCCCAGGGTCTGCTTCCAAGTCTCTGTTTGTGACTGATTGGCTAGCCTTCTCTGGGCCTCAGCCTTGGCAGCTGTCAAATGGGCAAGTTTCTCCTTTGGAGTACTGGAGGCAGGGGCAGAGTGGCACTGGGGGCCCAGCTGTGCCCAGGCAGGTGGAGGTCTCAGATGAAAGCCTAGTGAGGGGTCTTCGTGTAGAACCTCACTCAGCAATGATCACTGATTCACTGGCTGCCCACAGAGGCCCGGGAAGCCTTCCTGGAGCAGGTGGTGGACCTGGAAGGTGCCATGAAGGCCACGTGGAAGCAGTTGCAGGTGCTGAGAGGAAGCGTCCGCTGTGACCAGGCTGGAGCTCAGAAGACCTGCGCCCAGCTGACGGAGCTGGGGGAGGCAGTGCGGTCCTCAGAGGAGGGGGTCCTGCGGGCAGCCTCAGCTCTTCCGTTTCTGGTACCATGGTCTCCCCTGAACCCTGCTTCCCCTGGAGCCTGAGTAGAAATCTTTGCCCCAGTTCTGCCCTTAACCATTTGCCCATGGTGTGGTATATGCCTTAAATGATGCTTGGTGTCACACTGGGTCTCATCTACTGACAGAGGAAGGCACTGTTTGCAAAAGTCAAATGTATTTGGAGTAGACAGTGAGTGCATAATGGCAGGCCGAGTCACCGGGCTTTATGTGCAGCCATGCTGATCACCAAGTGCTGGTGTCATGGTTAGCTTTGTGCATTTTATAAAGTTATTGGCACCACCCTATTCCACCCAGTCAGCCAGCTGTGACCCTTGACCTTCCAGGACGAACCTCAGTTTCTTCCTCTGTTATTTAAGGTGAGTCTTCAGGAAGGATCCAGCCCACCCGCCAATTGGAGCCATCTGGCATCAGAGGCCCACATCCTTGCCAGGAGGTGAGCCCTGGGGCTCCTGGGTATTGGGAACTGTGTCCATACTGTTGACATGGGGGCCAGGCCTTCTTGGACAGGCTCCAGAGTCAGGATTTGTCTCTAGGAGCTAGGACCAGATGAGCCCAAGAGCCGCTCAGTGGGGAGTAAATATTACCAGTATGGGAGGGGGTTTGGGGAGTGGAGATGGAGGTGCAGGCATGATGGGGAAAAGATTGCTCAATGGAATGCATCTCAGCATCTGGTGGCTTTTTAAAAAATCCACAAGTTTATTACAATGCAATTCACATGGGCCTAGGAAGATCGGACTGGCTTTGAACTCAGAGATTTGCCTGCCTCCTGAGTGCTGGGATTAAAGTGTTCACCTCTATGGAAGCACACTTTCCTCATATATATATATATATATATATATATATATATATATATATACATACATATAATATTATATATTTATATATATAATATATATATATTTATATATATAATATTTGGGGCTGGAGTGATGACTCAATGGTTAAGAGCATGTATTGCTCTTCTAGGGACCTGAGTTCAGTTCCTAGCACTCACGCTGGGTAACTCACAACCTCCTGTAATTCTGGCTCCAGGGGGTCTGATGCCCTTTTTTCTGCCTCCAAGGGCACCTGCACTCACATGCACACAGATACACGTGCACACAGACACACATGCACACAGACACATGCACACAGATACACATGCACACAGACACACCTGCGCTCAGACTCATATGCACATAGACACATATGCACACAGACTCATATGCACATAGACTCACATGCACACAGACACACATGTGCACAGACACACATGCACACAGACACACATGCACTCAGACTCATATGCACATAGACACACATGCACACAGACTCATATGCACATAGACACACATGCACACAGACACGCATGTGCACAGACACACATGTACACAGACTCACATGCATACTTACAACTTAAGAATAGGCAAATAATAAAAATTACAAATAAACAGTAAATCTACCCATGGGAGTTAGAAGGTATAGGATTCTGTGGAGCTGGAAGCTCAGGCAGGTGTGAACTGATGCATGTGGCTGCTGAGAACTGAACTCTGCGCTGTGCGTGAACTGAAAGTGCTCTTAACTGCTGAGCCATCTCTCCAGCCCAGTTTTCCTCTTCAGCTTGAGGGACCAAAATCACTTTGGAGATGAGGAGACAGATGCAGAGAATCAATTGGCTCCCTCATAGACACACAGCTTGGAAGCGATAGAGTCTGGGTTCCATCCCAGGCCAGCTTGTCCGCTCCCTGCTGTGATGTTCGTATGAGAGGCCCTGTGGTGAAAGACCTTGGGCTAGGACCACAGGTGTGACTGATCTATGACAGGAGCAGGAACACAGAGCGTCCCTGCTGGTGCCGCAGTGGCAGGTGGGCGGAAAGGAGTCTGTCCTGTAGGAATCTGGACACCTCCTCTGCGTGTGCTCTTAGTGATTGTCATACCAATTCACACAGCCACCAGGACATGGCCATCAAGATTGAAGCTGCTGCACGGAAGGCCCTGCTCGCCTCCAACACCAGCCATGAGCACCTGCAGCATCTGCTGAGAGGAAAGGAGGCCTCGGAGGCTCGGCGGGAACTGGAGGACAGGTAAGGCCTCCACAGCTGTGTGGAGAACCTTGGGCTTAGCTTCCAGGAGCTACAGAACAAGCCAGGGGTCAGTGCCTCCAGAAGCAGCTCCTCTGAGCCCGAGCCCTTCAGGGTGTCTTGGGACAGCACTCTTGTAGGAATGAGGCTGTGACAGAAGGGATGGACAAGGTAGCTAATCTCTGCCCCACAACACTCCCTGAGGGCATCCTGTCAGCTGCAGGGTGAAGTCCCGACTCTCTTGTTGCTGCTCCCTGACACCAGCTTCCTTCCCTGCCTCTGGAGGCCAGGCATCTGGGCATCTCTGTTCAGCCTTGAGCTAGGCAGCGTGGCAGGCAGGGTGAAGTCATGTGGCCCATCTCCAGAGCTGGCTGCTATGGAGTGGTCGCTCAGCTCGAGACCTCACCTTTTGTCGCCAGAGAGTAACACACAGTATTAATTATACAAAGAGATTTAAAGGTGGACAGGTTTATTCTGCTCACAGTTCACTGGAGTTCTTCCTCCATGGCGAGGGAGACATTGTTCCTGGACTTGGGGTTACAGCCTGTGCCTTGACAAGCCAAGTTCAGTCACCCATCCTTGATAAACCAATTAAGAAGCCACATTAATAATGAAAAGCAGAAAAAGGAGCTTTATCGATGTGGCTGCATTGGAAGGAGGGGCAAAGATATCCAGGGGAGCTCGTTAGTGCCCCTTTGGTCCTGAGAAGAGGTTAATGTCTAAGCAGTCCTGGTCAAGGTGTGGCCCTGTCCGTGGGAGACCCATCGTTCTTCTGACTCCTTTTCCTGTGATCTTCTGGGGGAAAAGATCTTTCCCCTTAGGCTGGTTCAGACTGTAGGTTTCCCCCTCTGCATGGTTCAGAGTGTAGGTTTTCCCTCTGGCGGGTCCAGATTGTAGATTTTCCCCCTGTGCATGGTTCAGACTGTAGGCTTTCCTCTCTGGATGGTTTGGCTGTGGGCTTTCTCCTCTCCAAGCACTGGACTCCCGAGGGAATTCTAACTCTTGGGATCCACAGTTCCAGTAATTTGATAACAAAGTGAGGGGCATGAGAGACTCAGAATATCTTCATCTCTGTTGGACCAGTTACAACATGGCTTCATGCAGGGAAGGTGGCATGGGGCAGGAACAGGAGGTAGGCTGGTCACATTGCGCCTATAGTCAAGAAGCAGAGAATGAACAGGAACGGGGTCCCACCCTGAGTGACCCATTTCCTCTAGCAAGGCTCCATTTACTAGAAGTCCCACAAATTTCCCAATGCCACCAACTGGGAACTAAGTGTTCAAACATATGAGCTTCTAGGGGACATTTCACATCCAAACAGGAGCATATCTAAAGGTCAGCAGCAGGGCATGGGCAATTAAGATCACAGCTCAGGCCACAGTCCTTCCATCCCGGGTAGATTCCCCTGCAGCCTTCCAGGAGACTCCAGGGGTCTGCAGAATGTGTCATCCTTGGGTGCACTGGAATCTGGAGCCTGGGCAGCGTGGCATGCCCAGGTAATGAGTCTGTTCACTTGAAAGCTTCAGAGGTTGGAGAGATGGCTCAGCTATTAAGAGAACTGACTGCTCTTGTAGAGAAGCTAAGTTCAGTTTCCAGCACCCACATTAGGTTCCTTACAACTACCTGGAACTCCAGCTCTAGGGGATCCGACACTTGTCACCTCTCTGGACATCGGCACTCACAGGCAGGAAAATACACACATACCCTGAAAGCAGAAGATCACAGCTAATTTGTCGGTTCCCTGAACATCTGTACTCACAGGCAGGCAAATACACACACACACACACACACACACACACACACACCCTGAAAGCAGAAGATCCCAGCTAACTTGTCGGTCCCCTGAACATCTGCACTCACAGGCAGGCACCCCCCCCCCCCCCCACACACACACAGAAAACTGTAGATCACAGCCATTTTCCCAGGCCAACTGCTGGGTCCTGACTGCACAGGGTTGAGGCTGTCAGGAGGAAGGAGAGGCCTTGCAGGCTAACAGCTCCAGCCAGCGGTTCTGATAGAGATAGAGAGGGATGTCCTACAGCCTGTTCTGTGGCTCATCCTAACATCTTGACTTTTTTCCTCCCAGATACCAGGAGGTGCAGGCAGCCCAGACTTTCCTGGGCACAGCTGTGGCAGAGGTGCTGCCCAAAGCTGAGAGGGCACTGACCACTGTGAAGCAAGTCATTGGTGATGCTGCCCCACATCTGGTCTTGCTGGTCACCCCTGGAGCAATGGTCAGTTCAACGTCCCTGGAACTCCTCGTGGGGTGGCAGTGAAGGTTCTAGATCAGGGAGAAGTCAGAGGGCCATGCAGAAGTGGTCAGGGATTCTTGTTCGCTGGGAAGTGACCTACTGAGACAGACCAGGCTCAGGCAATCTTCCACACCAAGGCTGGAACTGTGCGGTGAACAAGGACATCAGAGGGGTGGGAATGATACACGTCCCAGTTCCCACACCAGCAGTGACCTTGGCCAAGGATTTCCTTCCCTGAGTCTCAGCCACCAGGGACCCCCTGTCCTGTGGACTCGGGCTCCTTTAGCTTGGTTTTGGAGGTGGGAGCTGGAGGGAGTTCAGTCAGTCTGTCATTCAATACTCATCGTGTTTCCACACCCTGCCCAGCTTGTCTGTCGGGTAATCCTTAGATCTCCAGCCTCAGAAACCCGGTTTTAACAGGGCACTAAGCCGGCTCATCATGCAGCTCATGGGAAGAATGTGTGCCCGGCATGCTCAAGGTCCTGGGTTCCACCCCCAACACCAAAGAAATCAAAACCGGGAAACTATCCAAATGCAGTTGGGACACAGGTTGCCTGTGGCTACTGCCTCATGGCTTCCCCTGCTCTTCTCACGTGCAGCAACCTGGATGACCCGGATACTGTCCGGGGCTTGGGATCATACACATCTCTGCCTTTCTAACATCTGGAACACCCTGTACTCTGAAGCACATTGGTCAAGGTTCAGGAGGAGGAAGAAGCCTCCTGCGGGCTTGAGGAGGGAAGTCCACCTTGCAAGGAAGAAAGGCAGTCCTACCCGAGGGTCAGAACAATTAGCTGCAGTGTCCCAGGGCTACACAGCTAGAAACTGGTAGGGCTGGGGTCTGAGCCTTCAGTGACAGGTTCTCCCAGCCTGGCTTCTCTGCAACCCTCTTTCTTCTGCCACTGCCCTGCCCCTGGGGTATCTCAGGTGCCTGGGACAGCAGGAAGTACTCTGAGACCAGGGTTAAAGCTCCAGTTCTGGGCTAGTAGCCACAGCTTGGCCCTCAGCACTGCAGGGCACAGGCTAGCCCCTCAACACAGCTGGGTACAGGCTAGTTCTCAGAGTAGCTGGGCACAGGCTGACCCTCAGTGCAGCTGGACACAGGCTGGCCCTCAACACAGCTGGGGACAGGCTGGCCCTCAGCACAGCTGGGTACAGGCTGGCCCCTCAACACAGCTGGGTACAGGCTGATTCTCAGAGTAGCTGGGCACAGGCTGACCCTCAGTGCAGCTGGACACAGGCTGGCCCTCACCACAGTTGGGTACAGACTGGCCCTCAGCACAGCAGGACACTTTTCCCTGAACAGAAGATTTGGTTCTCAGTCCTACCTGAACCCACAATCTCCCTGCAGCCTCAGAACTCCCAAGCCAGGCATCTGGACTGGAAAGTGAAGGCCCTGGAGCAGAAGCTGGCTCAGAGGGAGCGCCAGGCAGTCCAGGCTGAAGGAGCCCTGCATGTGGAGGCTGGGGCAGTCCTAAAGAAGATGGAGCCCTTCATGCAGGTCAATTTTGAATCTGAGGCCCGGAAAAGGGAGGGGATGCCCCCAAGGGAACCTGGGGTGGGGTGGGGTGCAAAAGATGGAAAATAACACTTGCAAGTCTCTGCTGCCTCCCTCAAAATGCCTGAGAGTTTTAAAGGCGGCCAAACCAAGGGAGGAAAGGCTGCCTCCTGAGGAGAGTAAAGGGGTGTAGGGAGAGGGGATGGACAGACAAACGGACAGACGGGTGGATGGTAGAAGCCATATCCATTTACCCTCTCAGGGTCAGTCACAACTGGATGGCTCTTGTGTCTCTTCCTCCCTTCTGCCCTTAGATACCCCATGTTCAGAGGCACCCCATGTTCTGAACAGCCCATGGGACTCAGTGTTAAGTCACATAGCCTGGTGTTCAGCCCAGGGAGATGGTACTAGATCAGGGGGTTCTAGAATGGTGGTTTAACTAGGACCTGCTTGCTAACATATACAAGACTCCTTCAAAAACAATTGTGCTAGAGCATTTTTCTTGGGAGATAATTTCAGGCTTATGGGAAGGTTCTATGGACAGCACCCAAATTTCTCATACCCTTCCCGGAGGGCCATTTTTTTTTAAAAAAATATTTATTTATTATGTATACAATATTCTTTATGCATGTATGCCTGCAGGCCAGAAGAGGGCACCAGACCTCATTACAGATGCTTGTGAGCCACCGTATGGTTGCTGGGAATTGAACTCAGGACCTTTGGAAGAGCAGGCAATGCTCTTAACCACTGAGCCATCTCTCCAGCCCCCCCCCCCAAGGGCCATTTGATGTTGGTGTTTTAGCCAGTCACAGGGCAGGTGCCAAACTCAGGAGAGCAGCATGGCACCGCCCAGGATTCTAGACTACTGGCCTGACTCAGAAGCCCCACAATGGCGGTCATGGCTTCCCCAGAGGCCCCTCAGCTTCCCTACAAACCCAGGAGACAAGGAAATACCTTTGAGAAGAAAGGCTGTACCTGAGGGTTGGATCCAGGGCCTGGCACATACCCATTCGAGCCTTACTGTGTTGAGGACCCTACATAGTGTCCTCTGACCTGACCTCTACTCCCATCTAGGGTGAGGAAGCCAGGAAGGGAGGCAGCCTCCACAGCCCTTCTGGGAGCTGAGAACCATAGCAGGGTCTACACTACTGAAGAAAATGTCTCCTTCTTCTATTAATCATTAGCTAAGTATAAGTCCACGGGGAGGAGCTGAACCCTGTGACACTGCCCCCATAACAGAAAACTGATGTTGAGGGCCCTAACTATATGCAGATCCTGTACAGGTAGTCATGGCCGCTGTGAGTTCAAGAATTCAAAGTTCATGCCATGCCCTGAAGTCAGCTTCCTGTGACTCTTACATTCTTTGTGTCTTCTCTTGCACAATCGATCCTAAATTCTTTACCAGGAATCTCCTCTGGTGGCCATGGGAAGTGATGGCCATTCTGTGAGGAGGTGCTGTTTAATAGCTACGGGCTGACATCACATTAGGGACTGAAGTATGTGGTTGTCTTTGGCTCTAGTTTCCCCATCATTCTCCAAGCTTCTGAAGATGGGGTCTTCTTGGAATTGATTTGGGGCTTGGTATCCATCTAATCAGATCAGGGTTCCTAGAATCAGGACGGTCTCCAGTCAGAGCCATTTGAGGTTTGGGACCCTGCCCATCTGGGGCCCCTTGACAGGTCTCCAGGCAGTCCTGCGTTTTCTCCTCCTTGCAGCTACGCAACAAGACCACAGCTGCCCTGACACAGGCTTCTTCAGCTGTCCAAGCTGCCACGCTGACTGTCATAGGAGCCAAGACTCTGCTAGCTGACCTTGAGGGTATGTGTGTCCTGTTGAGCCCTGGGTTCTATACAAGGCCCTGACAGCCAACTTACCTCAGCCAGGGATGTCTGGCTACAGGGAACAGCAGTATCAGGTAGACCAGTCCCTCTGCCTCCCAGGACTTCCATGCTGTCTGTCTCTCCCTGTCACACATGACACTGCTGGATTCTGGCCCCTGTGGCCACCCTAATTAGCTCCCAGCATTATCAGACCAAGCCCAGAGTTCCTCGGGATCCAGGGGAAGAGAATCTGTTGTCACCGTCAGGGGTGTGGCTCAGGAGGAACAAGCTGTCTAAAGTGTGCAAGGTTCCAAATCCTATCTTCAGTAGAGGTAAAAAGCAAAACCAGGGCATGAGGGTGTGGCTCAGTTAGTAGGGTGCTTGCTGAATGTACGGAAGACCCTGTATTAGACCCCCAGCCCCAAATAAGCCAGTTGGGCTTATTACACCTGAAATACACCTTTACACTCTGCACTCGAGAGGATCAGGAGTTCAAATTCACTCTTGGCTACACAATGAGTTTCAGACTCATGATACACTAGACCCTGTCAAAACAAAAAACAAACAACAACAACAACAACAAAAAACCCTCCCACCCCCAAATTGCTGCATAGTGGATCACACCTGTCCTCCCAGCCCTGGATAAGCTGAGTGGGGAAGAGTGCCTCAAGTGTGAGGGCGGCCGGGGTTACCATAGTAAGTTCTAAAGCAGTTTAAGCTATTGAATGAAACCCTGTATGAAAATGCCCCAGACAAAACAAAACTATGTGCTACAGTGTTTCAGTTTAGAGTGGGCTCGGCTTTGATGACAGCCAAACTTCTGGAACTTTAAGAAAATGAAGTTATACCCAGAATGGTGGCACAGGCCTTTAATTCCAGCACTTGGGGGGCAGAGACAGGCAGTTTTCTGAGTTCAAGGCCAGCCTAGTCTACAGGACGAGGTCCAGGATAGCCAGGGCTACACAGAGAAACCCAGAGAGAGAGAGAAAGAGAGAGAGAGAGAGAGAGAGAGAGAGAGAGAGATCCCAAGTGGCCTGTAGACAGAGAAAATCAGTCGCTCATCCATCCTTGAATCAGAGCTGAGCACTCTCTCTCTACCTCAAGGCCCACTGTGTGACTGACTCTTCAATACCGGCTTCAAATCAGAGAGAGGCCTTTGTGGCTCTTTGTCCCCTCCACCTAGCACCTTCCCTTCAGCCCTGCCCTGTTGCAGACTGGAGATGTATTAGTCCAGTGGTGTGGGGGCGGGGCATGTTTTCTAGTTTCCTTGGGTCCTGGAGTCCTGATTACTCATTGGGGCCTCCTATGAAAAGTACACGGCCGTGTGCACGCTTCTGTAACCAGAGTCACATTTTGGGAAACGTAAATCTGTACTACAGAGTGTTTTGTGTTCTTGCGGGGCATCAGAACTGTGGAGGGTTGTGAGATGCCCATTGTATGTCCCTGCCTCGCTGTCCTCAGCCTCCTTCTCTCCACATTGAGGGGCACATGACCTCCCAGGTGTCACCTTCTCCTTGTTGAAAACAGGACTTTGCTTGTGCTGGGTGGGAAAATGTCCCTCTGATTCTGCCCCATAACCTAACAGATTAACTTCCAACCTCAAGCCCAGGCTCTTTCTGTCCAGGGGCTGTGACCACTGTGTGATGAGGCTTTAACAGAGAGGTCACAATACAGACACCATCATAGCACACGGGTCTTGGCATTTGCTGAGGGCAACGTCTCACGCCTCTTGTTATTCCCGGGGGGAGGGGGCACCATGAGAGGGGGACACACAGATCTCCTGTGTCTCCAACCTCTGCTCCTGGGACTGGCCACACATTGGCAGTGCTCTCCAGGATGAGTCTGTTCCTCCTGCCTCAGCCTTGGCCGGTTTTGCAGGAGTGAAGCTGAAGTTTCCTCTGCCCAAGGAGCAGGCAGCGCTGAAAAGGAGAGCAGGCAGCATCCGGGCCAGGCTCCTGGAGGAGTCGAAGAGGAAGACCAGGCAGGCAGAGAGGATGCTGGGAAATGCTGCCGCTCTCTCCTCCAGCACCAAGAAGAAAAGCAAAGAAGCAGAACTGATGGCCAAGGAGAACGCCAAGGTCAGGTTCAGTACAGCAGCCTTGTTGGCAACAGCTTATTTGCCCTTGGTGTTGAGGGCTGTGGGTCCTGGCTCTCAGCTCAGGAGCTCATGGGGTGACCTCACCAGTGGGCCTGTGAGAATGTGAAGACTCTAGGTGGAGCCAAGTACTCACACCTGGGTCCAGTGGGACGTTGTCTAGATTTCTAGGTTTTTCTTTGTTGTTACTGTTTTAATTTCATCTTATTTACGTTTTATACAATTTTTAAGACGTTCTATTTTGTGTGTACATTGTTTTACCTGCATATATGTATGTGCGCTATGTACATGCGGAAGTCAGAAGGGTCCCCTTGCTGCGAGCCTCCATGTGGGTGCTAGGACCTGAATCCAGGTCCACCGCAAGAGCAACAACTGCTCTTGACTGGTGAGCAATCTCTCTACCACTTTTTAATTTTTGACAATCTCATGCTTTTAATCCTAGGCTAGCCCTGAAATCACTGTCTAACTGAGGGTGACCTTGAACTTTTGATTCTTCTGCCTCTACTTCTGCCACCACCCCCACTTAATCCTGTACTAAAGATTGAACTCAGGGCCTCGTGCATTTGAGGCAAGCGTGTGTCTAATTGAGCAACATTCGCTTTCTTAGGCTTTCTTTAACTGGGGCTGAATTCTCTCCCTCTCTCTCTCTCTCTCTCTCTCTCTCTCTCTCTTTCTCTCTCTCTCTCTGTCTGTCTGTGTGGGGTGGGGGGGTGTATATGTGGGTGGTGGGGTATATGTGTGTTTGTGTGTGTGTGGTGTGTGTGGTGTATATGTGGGAGGGTATATGTGTGTATGTGTGTGTGTGTTTCTCAGATCGAATGCTCACACCCAAGTGAACTCTTTTCTTGGGTACCTAAATTTCTGAAGGGCTGGCCTGAAACTAGGAATTCCAGGTACAGTTTCTTTTCTTTTCTTTTCTTTTAATTATCAAGTCTAGTTTATTTCTATGATTCAAGAATGTATCATTACATGCTAATTAATGACCATACAGCAATTGATAAAAATTAAGGAGAAAATATTGGACACATTTTTCTCTAACAATACAGAAAAGCATTTAACAAAATTTACCATCAGTTGGTGATAAGATTATTAATAAGTATGAAAAATATATATGCCAGTATAGTAAATCCATATATTTCAAGCCCACAGTTAACATATTCTTCAGTGATAAATGTGGTTTTTCATCTAGGGTCAGGAACTAACCAAGGATGCCTTTCCTATCTACTGAGTTAATACTGGGTATTCTTGCCAAATCCAGGTGCAGTTCTTTGTCCCATTGTCCAGACTTTGGGCAGTTCCTCCTCCCCCACCCTGGACCTCTGTTTCCCCATATATAAAAGATAGGTGGAATTTCTCCACTAAGGAGAAATGAGTAGTTTGCAGGAATCTGTACCGAAAGCATATCCTGTGTCCAGTGCACGCCTGTTGATTGTGGGGATGAATGAGTTCTAGGCTATGGCATAGACTTCTTGGCATCATGTCATAAGAACTCTCGTCCAAGTCAGACCTGGTGGGACATGTCTCTATCCCAGCTACTCTGCAGGCTGAGGCAGGAGAATTGCAAATCCAAGGCTATCCTGGGTAACTTAATAAGCCCCGATTTCAAAATATGAATTGGCCATGGCATGTGGGTTAGTCATAGTGCTTACCTAACTTGTATGAGACTCTAGGTTCCAACTTCAATCTGGAAAAAGAAAACCAAAGAACTAAGCCCCTCTTCCCCCAGGGGTTTATTCTTCCTTCCTGTTCCCGTCCTGCAGCTTGCGAAAGCTCTGCTGAGGGAGGGGAAGCAGAGGCACCGTCATGCCAGCCGACTGGCCAGCCAGACCCAGGCCACACTCCGCCAGGCCTCTCGGCTAGTACTCACATCAGAAGCGCGCAAGCAGGAGCTGGAACAGGCTAAGCAGGTGGGTGTGCCCAGCCCTTGCACCGTTTCCTATGCCCGGTGTCTTAGGGTTACCATTGCTATGATGAAATGCCATGACCAAAAGCAACCAGGGAAGAAAAGGATTTATTCCACTTATATTTCCAGATAACAGTCCATCAGTGACAGAAGTCAGGGTAGGAACTCAAACAGGGCAGGAACCCAGAGGTAGGAGCCAATGCAGAGGCCATGGAGGGGTGCTGCTTACTGGCTTGCTCCTCATGGCTTGCTCAGCCTGCTTTCTTATAGCAACCAAGACCAGCATCCCAGGGGTGTCACCAACCCACCATGCCTGGGCCCTCCCACATCAATCACTAAGAAAATGGCCTACAGTCTAGCCTATAGCCCTGTCTTATGGAGGCATCATCTCTGTTAAGGTTTCCTCCTCTCAGACGACTTAAGCTTATTTTAAGTTGACACAAAACTAGCCAGCCCTCCCAATCACCCCAAGGAGCCACTAAGATGTTCTTTCTGGCCAAGGTGGCCTCTGGGCTGAGCATCGTGGAGCGCCAGATCCAAGAATCTCGAGGGTCTTTGGTGAAGGACATCCAGGTCCTGTCAGAGCTGCTCGTCAAGTTGGGTAAGGAGGCTCCAAGGCGAGTCCCTGGGGAGGGGCAGTCGTAGGATACATCTCTGCTTGTCCTAAAATCCAGGGCTCCCACTTCTACCATATCACCTATCACAGGCTTTGTAGCCTTGCAAGCCCTGTGTAGGGCAGCGTGGGTGTCTGGAATTGAATTCACTGTGATTCCAGGGCATGAGAGAGACATCTACCTCCTCTACTCTGGTGAGTCTGGTGTGGGCTGGAGGAAAAGAAAACCCACTCACTTTGTTAAAGAACCCTTGGCTCCCATTGGGTGAGGTAGCAGTTAGAACCTAGAAAGAATGGCAGAAAAGCAAGGGCCATGTTGGAAATAGAACTTGATTCTGACTCTATCCCTTCCTGGGTGGCGGGACTTTGGGCACGTCGCCAGTCCCCTGAGCTGGTTTGCCCACCTATGAAGGAAGAGCGAAAGTGGACGACTTAGGAAGTACATATGTTGGGAGAAGTCAGCCGACACGGGTTCACAAGTGGGAAGGAAAATTCCACGTGAAGCCAGGTGGGATAGCACCTAGCCATAGCCTAACCCTTGGGAGACTGAGGCAGAAGGATGGACCCAAACCTTGGGTACGAGTGAAACCATGCCTCAAAAAAGAAAGAATGTGGGAAGAAGAGGTAGCTCAGCTGTTAAATCCCCCCTGCTTCCTGCGCTTCTAGAGGGCCCGAGTTCAGTCCCAGTACCCACGTCAGTGGTTCACAACAGCCCGTATCTTTAGCTCCAGGGGATCCAATACCTGATTCTGGCCTCTGTGGGCACCCTCAATATAGTCAAAAAGACATACTTACATAAAAATAAAATAAATCTTCAGTTAGGAAGAAAAGGGAAAGAGAACTCTGTACAGGTTGTAGCAAAGAGAACTTGTACACAAACAGCCAGGACCTCTGGATGAAGAGCTGGCAGCCACTGGCAGCCACAGACTTCGATGTCCAGGCAGTGATTAGACAGGTCGGGCTGACATGGACAGCATATACTTTTTAAAACTGTGCTAAGATAGACATAACATAAAATGTACTTTGTGAACATGCTTAAGTGTATATATTATATATATATATATATATATATATATATATATATATATTTGACATAGGATTTCTCTGTGTAGCCCTAGCTGTCCTGGAACTCACTCTGTAGACCATGATGGCCTCACACTCACAGAGATCCGCCTGTCCCTTCCTCCCGAGTGCTGGGATCAAAGGCACGGGTCGCCACTGCCAGGCTAAGTGCACATTTTGGTGACTGTGTTAGTGGGTTGCTTTGCTAAGCTCCCTGAGGCAATCAACTTAAGAGGAGGAAAGATTTGGGGTAGGAATGTGGCCCAGTGGCAGAGTGCCCTTCTTGCAGGCACAAAGTCCTGGGGGTCCATCCTTGGCACCACAAGAGAGGGTGCAGGGAGAGGCAGAGGTGAAGGCCTACTTTGGCTCAGGGTTTGAGTCCCTTGGCTCTGTTGCTTTGAGACTTTGGCTGCGAAGTGCTTCCTGATAGCACAGCTGTGGGAGGCCTGGTCATGTGACACAGAGGAGGCCTGGTCACATGATAGCAGTCAGGAGGGAGCAGAAGTGCTAATATCCCAGTCAGGGCACATTCCTGGTGACCTAACTTCCTTCCACCAGGCCCTGCCTGTGAAGGGGTCTGCCACCGCCTCCCCATGCACAGGTTTTCTGTCCTTAAACATACATTGTTGTGTCTCCATCACCAGATCCATCTCCAGAACTCTCGTGGCTGTCCAAAGAGAAACAACCTCTTAAACACTGGCTCCCCTCACCTTCCCTATGCCTGCTGCCTTTCTATGGCCTTGAGTTCTCTAGGGGGCTCAACTAAGTGGACTCACATGACATTTCCCCTTTAAAAGTTATTTATCTGTGTATGGGGGTGGGGCTTGTGTACTTGTGTGTGGAGGCCCGAGGTTGACTTTGTATATCTTCTCTATCACTCTTCACATTATGTATTTATATTTATTTTTTGAGACAGGGTTTTATTATATACCAATGTCTGTCCTGGAACTCACTCTGTAGACCAGGCTATCCTGGAACTCACAGAGATCTGCCTGCCTCTGCTCCATAGTGCTGGGATTAAATTAGGCGTGTGCCACTGTGTTGGGTTATTTATTTATTTTTAGAGTTTTTATTTTAGTTTGAGACAAGGGCTCAAAACTCACCAGGCAGATTAGGCTGGCCTCCAGTTCACAGAGATCAGCCTGTCTCTAGAACTCAGGTACTAGATTCAAATCATGGACCACTGTGCCTAGATTATATTTATTTTACTTAACTTATTTATTTTGTGTATTTATATGTGTGCTTGCCATGGAATGCAGATAGAGGTCAGGGGATAATTTATAAGAGCCATTTCCTACCTTCCACCATGTGGAATTGAACTCAATGCATTAGCCTTGGTGGCGAGCACCCTTTCTCCCTGAATGACTCTCTGCTTCATATTTTGAGATGGGGTCTCACTGAACCTGGAACTCATGATTTGGCTAGGCAGACTGACCTGAAGTTACAGGGATCCTCAAACACCATAATACACACATACACACACACGCACACACATGCACACACACGCACACACATGCACACACACGCACACACATGCACACGCACACACACACATACTGAATAAATATAATAAAAAAAATTAAAGGATGCAGTCCCTAAGGGATGACACCTCAGGAAGTTAAGATTCTATCAGTGGTTAAATCCATTGATGAGCGTTTACATGATCCAATCTCCTCTTGATGATGGGATCCATCAACTAGGGACCAAGTTTTCAACCCACGAACATTTTAGGAGGCACTTTGTATCCATATAATAGCCCGCCTCTGCCCCTTTTTGCCCTCTGAGCCAGTGTTCCTTGCCTGGGAAGTTCAGAAGGACCTGGGAGGATTAGAAACCTCGTGAGGCTTGAAGGCAGGCAGCACCTTCCCACAGCAGAGGCTGGTGGTGCATGCCCTTAATCCCAGCCACTTGAGAAGCAGAGGCAGGTAAATCTCTGTAAATTGGAGGCCAGCCTGACCTAGGACAGCCAAGGCTACACAGAGAAACCCTGTCTCGAAAAGCCAAAAACCAAGAAAGAAAGAAAAAACAAAACTTTGGGCTGGTCTATCCTGTCACCCTCCCACCCAGTGGAGCTCCATTTTTCTGCTGAATGTCACACTTGCTGACAAGGTGGCCAGGCTGCTGCCACCACACTGCACTCCTGTGTGAGAACCTGCTTCCACTCCTTGTCTCTTGGCGAGGCTCAGTCCTATTGCCTGCCCCCTGGGCCTACAGCCCTTCCTGCCCCACGCCACCCTGGGGCCTGTCTGACTGGACACCCGCAGTCTACTCCATGAACCTACCCGACCAGCTCACTGTACCTGTGAATGTGCTGACAATAGAGCCAGCATCCATCTTGGGACCTCCTTCCCCCAGTTTTGTTAATGAGGATGCTGGTTTTGTAGGGAACTCATTGAGGCTTTTATTTTATTTTTTTAACTGGGCCAGGAAATGGCTCAGGGGGTGAAGACACCTGCTGCGATGTCTGAGCAGCTGAGCTCCAGCCCTGGCTCCATCATGGAGGGGAAAACAGACTTCCACTCAAGCCCGCATCAACAAATAAGTAAATATAAGTAATTATTAAAAATAAAAAAACCTACCAGGTGTGGTGGTGCATGGTTTTAATTCCAGCACTTGGAGGCAGAGGCAGATGAACTCTTTATAAAATAGAGGCTAGCCTGGTGTACAGAGTGAGTTCCAGGACAGCCAAGGTTACACAGAGAAACCCTGTCTTGAAACACCTCCCCCACCCCAAAAAAATATTAAAAAATAAAAAAACCAACCAGCTGTCTTGGCACACGTCTTTAATCCCAGCACTCAGAAGGCAGAGGTAGGAAGACCTCTGTAAGTTTGAGGCCAGCCTGGTTACAAAAGATTTAAAAAATTAAATCCCTGAGACCTTGTTTAAAGATTTTTACTTTTATTTTACTGGGGAATGTTTTGCCTGTGTGTGAGTACATCATACCCTTGCAGTGCCCTCAGAGGCCAGAAGAAGGTGTAAGATGCCCCAGCACTGGGATTATAGAGGGTTGTAAGCTACCATGTTGGTGCTGGGAATCAAACCTGGGTCCTCTGCAAGAGTAATGCCTACTCTAACTGATGAACCATCTTTCCAGCCCCAGTTCTTAACTCTGCATGTGAGCTCCACGGGGCGCACACTCAGGCCTTTACCCCCTCCTGCAGTCCTTCTCTGTCTATTTTTCCCCCAGTAGGTGGTGGACAGACCAGGTTCTGGGTGTCTGACCTGGGTCTTGGGTTCCCAAGGCCTCAAGCAGCTGGCCTCCCCTGAAGCTGCCTGTGCTCCTCTACAGGGTCCCTGGATACCCACCGCGCTCCTGCTCAGACCCTGAATGAGACCCAGAGGGCACTGGAGAGCTTGAGGTTGCAACTGGGCTCACAGGGAGCCCTGCATCGCAAGCTGAAACGATTGCAGCAAGAGTCTGCACGGCAGGAGCTGCAGATCGAGAGCTTTGAGAGTGACCTTGCTGAGATCCGCGCTGACAAGCACAACTTGGAGACCATTCTGAGCAGCCTACCAGAGCACTGTGCCAGCTAGGCCCTGGCAGCCCCTCCCCACCTTGTGTTTCCTGCCCACTCCCCATAGGTGTCCCAGGTCTGCCTGCTGTGTGCGCATGTGAATGACCACACTCCCTTGCTGGTATGTCCAGATCCTCTTCAGTGTGAGCAGCGGGAGTGAGTACATGCTCACGACTCCACAGGTGGCCCTGTGTGCAGCCCTCAGTGTGTGCTCCCTGCACACACATTAGCACCCACCCCAGCATCAGTAAGAGGCATGTCTGCATTCATTCATGTGTGTGTGTGTGATGCATTTGTGTGTTCAGAACCATCTGTGCATAAACACGCATGACAGTCGGAGCTGTCAAGAGGCAGCTATGAGCTTGGATACACTGTGCATCCTGGGTGAGTCCTGTTATGAGAAATTCTACGACTTATCTACTACCCTCCCTCCAGAGAGTAGAACTCAAACAGCGGTGGCACCTCCAAAGCTGAGAAGTTATCCACAGAGATCTTGAGAAGGAAAGACCATGGTCACAGAGCTGGCCCTGGGCCTGTTGTGCCCCCATATTGCCCACTGGTCACCGTCACCAGCAACTCTGAGAACTGAGGTGCCGGGCAGATGAATAAAGGCCAGGATTCTAACAAGATTCTCAGAAATGTCATCCAAGGCCGCGGTGTGGCTTGGGAGGCCCACAGGGCAAGGCACAGATGTTATTGTCTTTTGTGGACTCATTCCCCCAGGGATCTGGATCTGCAGCAGTCTCATTGAGGGAAGAGCCTACCCAGACCCATCCTCCTCAGTCCCCTGATCTACCTGAAGAACCAGGTTCTTCAGGGTCTGGGTCATGAGGCCTACTTAGGTGCTAGGAATGGCCCTTTGTGCCCTGGTGACCTGGTTAGCCTTTGATTGACTTTTCTCAAACCGGTCTTGTGGCCCCACCTGCCATGAAGGATGCCACAGGGGTGTGGAAGCCTGGCTGTCATTCTAGGCCTGCTGCCCATGACTGCCTCTACCCATGAAGCCCTGGCATTTCTTCCTGCTGTTCCCCATCTTTTTCTGGGCCCTCTCTCAGTACACAGCAGGGCCTAGGCACTGGGATAATAGCCACATTTGCCAGCCCTGTCCCTTCCCCATGTCCCAGAGGAACTGATGGTGATGTGAACCAACTCTGATTATGAGAAAATAAAGGACCCTTTTCTGAGCCGGGTGTTGTGTCTGATCCTCCAGTGCTGGTGGGCAGCCAGGGCCTCCTGTGGGAATGTGGCTGGCACTGCAAGTAGGTAGAGCCTACATTTGTAATCTCCAGATGTGGGAAGGAAGTTGGCAGAACTGGGCCCATGCCATGCCAAGGTCTGTCATGGTAGGCTTTGCAGGGGCCATATGATCACCCCATTTCCTCTCAGATCTGGGGGCTTTCAAACAAAGGCTAGAGGTAAAATGGTCTTCAACTGATTCCTGATTCAGGATGAGATGCTGAGGCAGGAACCTGAACTTAAAACTGTCCAGTAGCACTGCAAGGAGCAAGGAAGGACACCAACATGTGGGAGGAAGGCTTGGGTCTGGACCTAGAAGGATGGAGAGGCAGAGGAAAGAATATCCCAGATCAGAGGATGGGCAGCAGCCAGGGCTGCAGGGCAGAGGCCTGGCCAACCTAGGTCACTGCAAACCTAGGTTAAGGTTAAGGCAGGTTGTAAAGCACACTCTAGTCTACCAAGGCTTTTAGCCACAAAGTCAAATGAACTCCCAAATTAGCTTCAACAGAAAATTAGAGGTCTTCGGAAGGGTGATTTGGAATCTTGGACTCAGAAAAACTGCCAGGCTACAGAGAAGCCTGGAGAATTGGGGCTGCTGTGGTGGGCAGCTGCTTCTTTCTGCCTCCTTTCTTGGTCCCAGCTCTGCTTAGGTCTTGCTTCTGCAAACTAGCTTTCCTCTCTCTCTCTCTCTCTCTCTCTCTCTCTCTCTCTCTCTCTCTCTTCCTTTCATTTTCTTTTTGTTTTTTGAGACAGGGTTTCTCTCTGTAGTCCTGGCTGTCCTGGAACTCACTCTGTAGACCAGGCTGGTCTCAAACTCAGAGATCCTCCTGCCTCTGCCTCCCGAATGTTGGGATTAAAGGTGATCACCACCACTGCTGGTACGCAATAGTCTTTCTAGAACCTGATGGATGAGGATAATGTACATCCCCTTGCCAAAGCCCTGGGCTTGCCTATCGTCAGGTTATCATTTTTATTTTGATATTTTATTTTTATTTTATATGTGTGTGTGTGTGTGTGTGTGTGTGTGTTTTGCCTGCATGTGAGTCTGGGAACCATATACACGCCCCAGATCCTCTAGAAGTTATAGACAATTTTTAGCTGCCATGCGATTATTGGGACCCAAACCCAAGTAGACAAACAGACAATTCTTTTAACTACTGAGCCATTACTCCAGCCCTAGGTCAAATGTTTGAGTGTTCAGGTCCCCAGCACGTTCGAAATAACAGGGACTCCTGGTCCAAGGCTTTGTGATGAGGCATGTCCTACACCTCTCTCCTGGAGTTATGCGGGAGGTGGGACTGGTGTTCAGAGGAGAGGCACATTCCTCCAGAGAGAATCTTAAAATGAGGGTTAAGGTGAGGTTGATGTGGTAGGTGTTTTAAACTGAGTGGGAATGACTTGGTGGGTTTGCCAGGGTCAGGGTAGAAAGGTTGAAGATAGGCAATTGGGTGTACAGCCTCTGGTGTATGTGATGCCAAGGAAATGGAGTTCTAAAATAAACTCCGGGACAGGATCTGACATTCCTAACTCCGTTTCTCCACTGATAGAAGTTCAACCCCTACCCATTTGAGCCATGAGGCACAGCAGTACCCAGTCCCAGCATCCCCAGTGGGCGGAGACCAGGCTTCCTCCATTCCTGGGTGACAAGTCTCAGGCCTGACATGTGACTCATGCAGCATGGTCATGCCTGGTGTATGCAGAGCCACTCGAAAGCCCGGAGGTGGGGCTGCTCATAACTGGGTGGAATGTAGCAGCAGCTGAACATCTGGCTAACACGGCAACCAGCCGAGCGGAGAACTCGGGGTGGCCGCTGCCCTATCCCACAGAACAGCCAGGAACAGCTGTTGTGTACAAGTAAGTCTCCTCTGAGGTTAAGGAAGGCATCCCATCCTGGAGGAGAGCTCCTAAAGCAAGGAACTAAACAACCGAAAACAATAGCTTCAGGAACTCCCTGAAACTGACCAGACTCGCTTGGCCCCTTCCTGCCAGGGTAAGCAGACCCCACTACAAACAAAAAGACTCTCAAACAAAAAGAGCGGCCTGGAAAAGGCTAGACCAACTGAGGTACCTGGAAAGGGCGCTCTCCATGCAACCTTACTGAGCCTTCTGCAGCTGGCAGTGCTCTCCAGGTTCCCAGCTTTGTGAGCTGTCACCATGCTGCAGTGGGCTTTGGTGACACAGCTGTCTGTGAGTCATTTCTGCTCCTTTCAGTAACCCTTCACCCATATTCCTGTAAGTAACCCCAATAAAACTCTTTGGCTCACCAAGTGGGACTTTGGTGGTATCCATACTTCAGTCTGCCCGGGGTTCCCTGAATTGGTTGAATAGGTGTGTTAGGAACGTGTGTTGCGTCTCCCCAAGAAAAGTTTTGGAACACAACAACAGCCAAGCCCAACTAGCTGGGGCAAGAGGCAGTCTGAGACTAGACCAGTGAGTGCCCTGTTCTGAGTCCAGTTCCTGCCCGAGCTTTCAGAGAGAACACTACCATATAGGCTTTGACTTCTCACTTTACACTCCACAGTCCCTGCTCCTGTTTCCCATATTCTCAACAGGGAGCGTGGGATGAATGAGCGGGCAGGAGGGGAGTAACCTAGGAGCAGGGATTCCTGCCCTCTGAACATCTTTGCTCCTGTGGGCCCCATCTCATTCTGTCTGGCCCCTCCCTGTGTGAACCTGACCGTGTTTACCCCCTAAAGAAGGACAATCATCTGGTCCCAGGATCTCAATCTAAGGAGTCCAGACATGAGACAGTCTGGGGAAGGGGAATTCCTGGACCAGTCCCCAGAGACGTACTGGAGGTGGTGGTGGTGGTGTCTCCTTCCCCTGGCCGGGACAATCCTGATTATGTGCCTGTGTCCACAATTGAACAATTCGACTGATACCCTTTCTCTAGAAGAGCGGTCAGATTGGACACCGGAATGCATGGTCTTTTTCTTTATACGTCTGTAGTTCTTGCTTCCATAGCCTGGCTTCATCTGGCTGCTTTCTTCATCACTCAAAGGACTTGTGTCCCAGGCTTCAGCTTCCAGACTACTTTTCTTTCAAATTAGGCATACCTGTCCTATTTCACAGACTGGAGGATGAAATGACATACATAGAGGCAAGTGTCAGGTAACCGTGAGCGCCCAACAAAGTCTTTATTAACAACATACATATTTATCTAATTGACTTAATTGGTGTCATAGTGGCACTACCGGACAGTAAGGTGACGACAGCCTCTATTGGCACTTGATCTTCACAAGAAGCTCTGCGTACTTCTCACGGAGTTGTGACATTGTCTCTTCTGGTGACGAGGACGGGGAGAGAGGGCGGTCCCGTTGTGCATTTTCCGCGTCCTCCAGTAGAGGGGCGGCGGCGGGCTAGGCGTCCAGCAAAACAGCCGCTTTGATGCCCTGGGCGCGCGCGGCCGCGGGGAGGGGCGCGGGAGGCGGGTCGCC